ATTATTTCAATTAAAACAAAAATTTGATGAACACAAACAAATAAGAAACACTTCACTATAATCACATTCATCAACCAATACTTCATAACTTAGCCACTCAACCTCAATCATCAATCAAACCCAATAACAGATGATGAACACAAACAAAATTAACTGAAACACTTACTCGAAAAATGGCAGATGGCTTCGACGTTTGGAGCGGCAGATGAGGAACCAAGACAAAGAAGTGAACGTTGTAAAACAAGCTCAATCATCAATCAAAACCAATAAAAAAAATGTGATTAACTGAAATCAAATAGACTAAAACACTTACAATAATAATGGCAGATGAGCAACTTGAAGAAGAATTACGGCAGATGAGGAACTTCAACAAAGAAGAAGAGCGGCACATGAGAACTTTGAAGAAGAGCGGCCATGAGGAATGAAGACGAAGAAGAAGAGCGGCCCAAACTGATTTTAAAATTTCCCCCAAATTGATTTGACCTAAATTAAAAGTACTCATTAAACGATGGATGGGCATCAACCGTCTATCAGTTAAGGACGCCCGTCCACTGAATAATGGACGGGCGTCGATAATTTTTTTACTTTTTTTTTTTAATTTACAGTATTGGACGGGCGTCCACATATAATGGACGTCCGTCCAAAACTCAGGGACGGGCATCCATAAATGATGAACGGGCGTCCCTGAATTTTGTAAATTAAATAGTATTTAATTGAAACAATTGACGGGCGTCCATTATATGTTGACGGGCGTCCATCACTGAGGGACGCCCGTCCACTGTATAATGGACGGGTGTCCATAAGTTTTTTAATTTTTTTTTTTAAATTTACAGTATGGACAGGTGTCCATACTATGTGGACGGGGGTCCAAAATTAAGGGGCGGCCATCCAGAAATGGTGAACGGCCGTCCCTTAATTGTATTTAAAATTTTATTTTTTAAAGTATGGACAGGCATCTATTTTATGTGGACTCCTATCCATAGTAAATGGACTCTCGTCTAATAGTTGATGAACGACCGTTTACTTGCAAAATATTGGTTCATGGGATACGTGGCTGGTCTGAGTCACGGGATACGTCATTTGGTCTAACAATTCGGTGTACAATGTCGGTGTCCGTAGTAGGGTTGTTCGGTTCTGGGTACCCTGCACTTTTTGAAGCAACCAGAATCGGAACCTGAACCGACGGTTCCTTAAAATTTGGAACCAGAACCGGAACCAATGGTTCCGGTTCCTAGATACCTAGAACCATAACCTGTAACAATGGTTCCGGTTTTGATTCTGGGTACCCGGTAAAATTACCATGACCCCCCAAAAGTTTTTAAAATGGCAAAAAAACCCCTAAAAACTTACAAATACCCCCCACCTGGCACTTCTTAACAACAATAAAATTACAAATTACAAATTCAAAATTACAAACTCCATTACTTTGTAAAGGTAGATTCTCAAAAGTCAAACCAACTTACTTTAAATGTTATGAAATATAAATATAAATGTATTCACATTACTTTTTCTACAAAAGTTTTTATTAACCTCCCTAATTTTAATTTTATTTTATATTAGTCTCGGTTCTTGTTTCCGGTTTCGGTTCCTACGTATAGGAACCGGAACCAGAACCGCATAGTAACGGTTCAAAAAATTTGGAACTGAAACCTACCCGTTGATGATTGGTTCTAGGTAGGAACCGGAACCAAACCTTGGGTACCCGCCGGTTTCGATTCCAACCGGTTCTTTTGAACACCCCTAGTCCGTATCATTGTTGTTAAGTAATTTACCTAAAAATAATTTTTGTATTTTATTATTATCAAATTAAAATGTCATATAAATATAAAACAAGTTTTTTCTCAAGGATGTACAACAGAAAAAACATGTGTTATGTATAGTATCAGTATATAAATTCTTTTTGTCTCTTATAAATATGTATCACAATGAGAAGGTGAAAAAAACAATGTCCCTAACACTCATTAATCAATTAAAAGTAAGTATTAAGTGTTGTTTGATTTTAAAATGTGTTTCAAATAATTACATAAATACGTGAAAACATGTTTCCTTGACTTATACGTTTTAAACCATATATAAGAATGTTCCAACTCTTCTTTTATTCTTCAAAAACACTATGGTTTGTTTCAACCAACTACTAAAAATTCAATATTTTTTATTTTTTTTTTATAAACGTTTTGCATAATATAGAAAATGCATCTTACTGTTCTTATGAAAAACACTGTTTTCAAATGCTTTTATTTTCATAAGAGACTTCCTACATGCATCTTACAAAAGGAATAAAATTATAGATATAATATATGATAATGAACGATATTTCTTGTCCTTGTTTTAAGTTTTAACAGTCTAACTAAAAGTAAACATACAAAACTTCTATATATATTTAAAACATTTTGAATATATATATATAAAATGTATCTTTATGAAAAAAACATCTTAAAAGATCCTTTTGCTTTTTACTAATTATAATATCATATTTTTTTAATTGGTTTAGTAGATAAGACATTCATCTACTTTTATTCCATTTTACCTCTCCACAACTTTAATGCAAAAAAGAAAAGAAAAGAAAACGCAGTAAATGCTTACAAGAGTTATTTTAATTTTCTAAAATTAAGAAATGAAAATGTTATGCCTCAAAAAGTCAAGCCTATGTCAGCACAATTAATGTCTCTCTGTACCAGCTGCCAAGCCCATATCTCCAAAGATATTCTCACCAACTTTATCTCATTTCAAAGAGATGAATGGACGAGAGCCTTCCATGTGTCAAGGCAGTTTGCAAAATCTCTTATTGCATTGAGTGCAAATGTGAATAAATGGATTTTTCTCTTCCCGAAGAAGGGAGGCTGGTGGCTGGGCTGAGATTGAGCTTCAATTATTTCTCTCTGTAAAAACGCTGTATTTCTTCATCTTTGTATGCCTTACGGGCAAATTCATAGAAATAGTGAGAGATCAATAAAATAACAGTGGATGTAGGAGTCGCTCGTTGAGCATCCGAACCACTATAAAAACCCCATCTTGCCAATCTTTTACTTATATAATCTGCAAAATATATAATCTCAGCTCCATATTCAAATCTCATGGATCCATCACGTGTGTCTCCTAAGTCAACTCAGTGTTTCCCACGTGCGAATCGTTGGCGTCCAAAATCAAGCGTCAACAGAAAACAAAATTTTACTCTAGTGCTAGAGTCAATTGGACTCTGGCTCTAGATTTGACTGGACTCCAGTGACTCGAGCGTGAGAGTGGTTTTCTTTAGCTACTAAAGTGAACAAGGTAAAAATGAAAAGAAATTGGATGAAAGATATTATCCTCTAATTCAATTGAAAAGAGGTCAGATATTAATGTGACACTCCGCTCCTTGCCAAAAAAAAAAAGAAAAAGCTTTTTTTTTTGCAAGTAATCATTTTATCTCAATGTGGCACTCCCCCTACAGCTTTAAAATGTAACAAAAATATTAAGACTTCAATTCACAACCATATATTGTATTGGAATGAAGAAAATAAGAATTTTGAAAAATTAATGAAAAAAGCAGTAAAAGAGATCTGAAAAATTAATATTTAAAAAAAAAAAAGTAGAAAAAACAGGATTTTGAAAAAATCCGACCTGCCGGATTCGAACCAGCGACCTAAGGATATGCTGATGGATAACCTACTACAGTCCTCCGCTCTACCAACTGAGCTAAGGTCGGTTTGTGAAACGTTGTTGGATTGTTTTTTATAATCGTATTCTTTGTAGATTGCAATAATTTCTTAAACAAATTGGTTTGGTCATTGACAGTTTGGGACTAGGGTAATTCAGTGGTGGAAATAATTAGTTGTAAAAAAGAGTAGTTGAGTTAAAAAATTTATGGTGAAATTGTGATGTTGTGGGAGTTCACCCTACATACTCGTTGATCTTTCATAATGCTTCTACTTGATCATCATTTTAATTATCCTAATTGGCGTTGAACTGAGAAACGAATTGCATTTACTAGCACTAAAGGTGGAAGGGAACTGGACTAAGGAGACGTAAATTATCATCATAGCCCGTTGCTTTTCTACCAAACTTATCGAAAAGGCCCAAACCAAAATATTATGGGCCTGCCTTAAGAATAACTGAATGCTATAAAGTCATGTATTTTCGTTTTATAAATAAATATTTTCCTATTTACAAGAATTAAATACCTATGAGAATTTCTTTCTTTTCTGGAATTTCAACAGAACAACAAAATTTTTATGATTCTTAAGAATAAATTGTACCTAACTTAAATTCTCAACTACTCTAAAACAGAATAATTTTTTTTGTGGTTAGAAGAAATATCTGTTTAAAAAAATTCAAATAAAGACATAATACATTTGGGGTTAATATTTAATAATAGAATCAAGGATTTTTTTTTTTTTTTTTTTTTTTGGGGGGGTACCTTCTGATATATAGCACAATCTTGTTATTCCGTCCCTTTCTTTATAAATATATATGGGTTTCTAGCTACACCTTCATGCTTATAGAAGACAAATATAACGTCAAATTCACAAAATGTCTAATTTTCCAGATGGCAAGCGAAATGCCGCTCAAAATCTTCTTCAAATCCAACACTCTTTTATCTCAATTTAATTGCCTTATTAAAGGTACAATTGATTAGATTCTTATATAGGATATGTGGGGATGCCATTTTCCTGTTTACTGACAATTATTTTATTGTCCTCTTCTGGCCTAATTACATATACCTTTAATTATTCATTCTTAACTCATCTTATTATGCCCGTAAAAAGAGTCCTGTGGGATTTCATAAAAGTCATATATGAAGCAGAAAGCATCCCAGGTTATAATGCTCCAACCAAAATTCACGGGTGTGTCTTCTAATAATTAGGAAATTACAATCAGAAACAAAAACATTCTTGGTCCCTTTGCCCATAACTTGTTTGCATTTATTAGCGGCGAATACAATACAAAGTACAAACATTTAAGAGCCATCTTTCTCAAACTATAGCTCTCTTTCTCGTATCAAATACTTGTAGGAACCATTATAAAACCACTTAAAATTTTTATTATTTATTACAGTTACAGCAAACCAAACAATACAATAAGATGACCAGTACGATAACAAAAACGACAAAACCTTCAACTTTTTGGAGTCTCGGACGCTCAACTACTCTTGCACCTTTTCTTGGCAAGTGGAACCCATCTCAAGAACCTCCAAAACATAATGTAACTTTGCTTGTACAAATATAAAAAGCCGTGAACCCATAAATAATTATAATAGACCCTAACACTCAGGAATTTGGGTATGGTCTCTGTTGGGGTCATGGCAATAGTTATAAGCCAGGTAGTTCCTCTGGACCCAAGCCATTGCGGAGAGTTGTTGTTGACTGAGGTCACTGGACGAGGATGGCGAGGCTGAGGGTGGGCTGCAGGTGGCAGGTCCATCGGCGGTGCAACCAGCTAGTTTGAAATTTTTGTACCTACCAACGAAGGGTTGGTATTGATAATTGGCTTTGTACCTTCCATTCTCAGTGGCCCATGATGACGCATCCCATATTGAACCATACAGATACATTGGCCTTAGAGGAAATGTGGCATCGCTCTTCCTTGGATACCTTCTAATTGGCACATCATCCACCAGGAATCTGTTTTGACACATTGTGGACAAGTTTGTAAAAGAAGAAACCCAGCCAAATTTAGAAACCAACAAGATTTTTTATTTAATCACTTCCTTTTAAATGATTTATTAATGATTTGTAAAAAAGTTTCCCTTTGACTTTCATCTTGGGCAAGAAAAGATGCCCATATATAATACGACATTTTATTAGTTGTATGTTATTATTTTTATTATGATAATCATACCAAATACACATTCATGCATTTAAAGTGAAAGAGTTATGCATGTAGAGATACACAGAGAATAGAAATATATAATAGCGTAATTAAGTGTGTTGAAAAGAGTGAATTATTAATTAGTAAAAGTGATACTAACATGATTTCACTTGGGGTCCATAGGATAGCGTAGTTATGAAAGTCTTGAGTAGGATCAAACCAGAGATGGAACTGCATTTCTCGTCCAATAATATTTCCATCACCACTTCCTCTTATGTATACGTTAGTCTGCAAAGTATAGGGCTTTCCAGGTATTGTTCCAAGGAACTCAATATCAACTTCATCGTGGTTCCCCGGGTGATCTTCGTTGTTCGAAAGCTACCACATAGCACCATGGAAATTCAATTAATTAGATAAAAATTATTACTGAGTTATATTCATTTATCATAAATTGAACATGTTAATGATCCTTCTCACATAGAGAGATGTGATAACTCCAGCAGTGTAACCGGGTTGGAGCTTGATAGCAGCTCCAAAGTAACCAGAACGGTACTGACGAAGTGACTTGAACCCACTTCCTGTTTACAAAATGTAGCAAATAAGAACATCAACTACTGTACTTATTGAACAAAAGGATAAAATAGAATAAGATTAAAGTAGAACACAGGACAAATTAGTAAGACCTGAGCTTCTGTCAAGCCAGATTGTTAACTCGCCCTGGTCTACTCTTTGATGCTGAGGACCCCAGCGGTTCCTAAATCCTTGATCAAAACTTAAAGAATTGATTTTGGAGCTAGGGTAGTAGCCCGGTGAAGGTTGTCCGTGAACAGTGCTACTTGAAGAAGAAACTGTGAGAATGAGAGTGAGAATGAGATAGAGAACGGGGGCCATGAAACAGTGGAAGGAGAAATGATGATAGATAGTGAAGTGAAGGGCCATATGTTTATTACGCATTGAACTATTGGAGGCAAAAGAATTGAAGCTAGGTATGTGTTTATGAAAGAAAAGCATGGCGATACACTTGGTATAAATAGGAGGCCTGAGGCCCCACTCAAGAAATAAGGTGATAAGTTAGTTGATGGGGAGTTATACTTGGTGACAAAACGCTGAAATATTGTTGATAAATTAGGGGAAAGATTGCTCAACTTGTGGTTATATTTTATCCTTTTTTGCCTTTTTTTTTAATCCTTACTGTGGGAAATTTTATTAGTTAATAGTTTGCTCATTTGGAGAAGCAAAGAAAAAATTTTATGGAGAGATATTTAATGGGTTTGGTTTCTTCTTTACTTGGTGTAATCGAAATGATCGTTCATGTCAAATCACTATAAATGAAGATGGCTAGAGTATCATAGAAACACTAATATTATACTCACAAACTTTTCTCATTAATTTTTTTTTTATGAACGTGATGTGTCAGCTCGTAATAGGTGATTTGATCTATCTAAATACGAGTTCATCAATTACGAACTACCACGTCAGCGTTTGTGAGAAGTATTTGTTAAACCTATTTTTATTCTTATAGAAAACTGTTTTACACTAAAAGTAAATAGAAACATTCGTTGTTATGCCATAAAATAGCCTCGTGATCCAAAAGGACTAAAACACAATTAACCATGAAATAACAAAGACATTTTAGTGTTGGTAAACATTATATATATTTGTGACAAAGGGTATTCAGGCTAACTTACATGCACATCGATTAATCTTTTAAGTCTTGAAATTAATAATTAGGTATACCCTCTAGTGTTCATCTCTGTTAACAATTGAAATAAATCAAACTCAAGTTTTTTTGAATAATACACCCAAAATTGACTATCATCTTACCGGATCACCTAGGGGTGGTTTCTAAAGACAATATTAGAATACACCAAATACAAGATGGTCTAAATAGCTCACTATTGTTGTGGTGTTTGTACCTTACTTTACAACTATTTGCTAATTAAGCATGCTTATAAAAGAACCAATTAAGATTACATTGACCATACTATCAAATTTTTTTTTTTTTCTAATATGTTTTTGAAATATAAAATACTGTAGTCAAACCTCTAATAAACAGATGGACCCAAATCCTATCCAGTATCCACCAAAAGCCTCTGTTATTCTTCGTTTGAATTCTGTATTCATTAAGATGCCCACTTGGAATGGAATGTCATAATTCATATATAGTTTACAATGAAGAGACGCTCTCATTAATAAACGCAATCTGCCCATCATGCATATCGTTAATTTAACTCCATCATAGAATTTATCGAGCTTTTGTCTCTTCACTTAATTTTCAAAAGGGACCATATATGCGTGGACAAATTAAGCAGTTGAATCAAGATTTACATGAATCAAACTTGTTCAACTGCTTGTGAATTAAGAATAAACTGCGCATGCCTCTTGACCAAATGCTGCTGCCATATAATCGTACGGGCTTCTAAAGTATGTGGCAACTTCTGATCAAGTCTCTATTATACGGCGACAATGACCGTGGGTTCAGATTTCAGAGTCAAATACTTTGTTAATTTTCTCATTCTCTGTCGATAATTTAAACAGCAAAATGAAACCTACTAAACAACTACACCTTTTAAGTTTGACTAAAAGTTTTGAATAAGAAAGAAGCCAAAAAAAATTTGAAGTAAGTTAAGCAGTCAATTGGAAGGGAATTCTTGAAGGCGTAAAAATGGCATCTACCATATTTTCTCCAGAGCTATCAATCAGGACATTTAGCCTGAAAAGATGGGGTGCGTTGCTGCTCGGTCGGCAACCATGGTTGCTTCAAAGCATCAACAAGATATAATTTTATGACAACGTACAATGGATAACTATAAAGAAACATCATTAAGTCACCTAATTATGCTTTTTATGATAAGAAAAGATAAAGAATAATTTTCAATTGGGGAAGTCATTGACAATTTGGCTTCTTGGTGGCTGGTGCTGTTGGATTTATGATACTCAAATACCAGTACTGTGCGGCGTACAATATGAGATATTGAGATCAATTTCAAAAACATTTGCACTTCCAAGTGCTTGAAATTAACCGATCCAGAATGGGATTGCTTATGGGTTATGGCAGTAGAAAATGAAATTTAATTTATTTCTCTGCTCCAAATAATTGTACCATGTGATATTGCCGGATTTTAGACCCAGTGCTTCGTACAGATAATTTATATATGTTAGATCAGTTTGTGGAGTTGTTGACCAAAATACACCGACTGGCTAAAAGAATGTTCACATATTTTTAAGAAATTAATGGAAACTGTGCACCCTTCAAAGATTCTCACACTATGAAATCTTTCCTTGCTTTTTTAAGGGAAAGCTTACTTAAGTTTACTACTCCCTGAATATAACACACACACACACATATAATAACCTCTCGAATTTATTTTTAGTTTGATGAAAAATTGTTCTTCCAATTACCTCTGGGTAATCGAAAGAGACTTTTATGTATATTATTTAAGAGATCTTGAGTTCAAGTCCTTAGCCTCTTCGGTTGCTAATAGAGGAAACCATTAGAGATTTTTACTCGGCCAGTATCCTAAAGGATTAGTTGAGATGCACATACACTGTCCCGAATACCCCTAGTCATAAAAAAAAAAATAAATAAAAAAAAAATTGTTCTTCCCACAAAATAAATATACTTTGTTGAGGTGTGATCGAAACTCATAAATTAATCTAAATTCATGTTCACACAATATGAGATATATGACATCATTAGTCTTTATTTATTGGGTTAATTAAATGGTGACATAAAATGCCTCATATATTAGATATAATCATCTGTTTTATATTCAAGACATAATTATTTGTGTTTTGTTTTGTCTCATCAACAACTACTTTTAAAAAAGAATAATCGTCGCCAAGTTTCTTTCACACAACATACCTATAATACAAATTGGTTAATAATTTGGAATTGTCGAGAGTTCAATAGGCCACGTTTACTGTTTTAGCTTTGCTAGTACATGAAGATGTATATGAGCTTAAGCTTTTAAATCAATATAAATAAATAAAGATTGAAAGTAGCAAGGCGTTGTCGATATATATGATTAAGATTGCCTCTGCATGACTACATCATATCTGGTTTCACACTCTGATAAGAATAACCGGTAAGGGTTCTTCCAATAAATTGTAGGGTTTATGAAAGGTCAATCAATATGTAAGCATCAGTGTCGGCCAAGTGGCCCCATCACGTAGGACATCGCCCATGGCCGTCCAAAGTCCAACACAACCCTTTTTTGTTTTCTATTTTCCATAGCAACTAGTCTACAAAAGAGGCACTCTCAAGCAAGAAAATACATGTTATCGCCCACCTTTATGGAATACATGGCCCCAAAATATTTTTTATTAATGTTCACATTAACATTTGCAAATACGTACGAATTATTTCAACCATCCTATAAACAGAAAATTAGAACATTGAAGTTTGAGAAAAGAACATGACATTGTCGGCATAATTTGTAGAAAGAGAGTGAAAATGTCGGATTTCATACAATTTTTTTGCATGAAAAATAAAACACATACAACAATATGTTGATTGCTATAAACCACAACCAGATTGAATCCAGATTGTAATTAAAAATCACTCTAACTTGCATCCTAGTTATTGAGATCAATCTTTTGGATGTACATGAAAATGCCCTCTTAATTTTTTCATTACTCGTTAATGGAGGTTACCTCTTTAATGCATTTATCACTGTCTTCCATTCAACCACCTTGTATATTACAAAGTAATTTAATGTCATCAACGAACTGATAATGAGGTTCCACGCTGCATATATAAAATATTGAAGTTATACAGTATGGTGGTTGAGACGTTACAAAACAATTATATTTCCATTTCAGATTAGTATTTAATTCTGTTTAGAGTAAGGTCTCCACAGAAAATGACAAGATACGGGATAGCCCAGCGAAGATCTTTCTATGACTTGTTTGTATTGATAGGGAAATAAGATCATAAAAATAAAAGATTGAGCAAAATTAATGCAATTTATATGTTAATCTCTCATTAAATGACTCCTTGATTTGTGCTTAATTTTCTCTATACCTAATTCCCGTATTTTTAAAAGAATATATATACGATTATGATAGCAACAACATATACAACTTATGTTATTCTACTTGTAAAATCAAACATGTTCAAATTAATTAGCATTCTTATGATTTATATTGAGACTAATTATCTCTTATTCTTATTCTAAGCTTGATTAGGATTGTTTTAGATCATATACGATTCCCTTAAACTCCCTTCATTCCGTGAAAAAGACATTTTAAAGTTGATTTAATAGTGATAATAGGGATAAGATCATATATAAGAATAAAAGATTGAGCAAAATTAATGCTATTTAGATTGAATTCTCTCATTGAATGACTCCTTCATCTGTGCTTAATTTGTGTGATTATGATGAGAGAAAAAGCAAGAATGTATACAATGTGTGTGTGTGTGTATATATATATATCTGGGCATGCTTGTGCACATCTCAACTAATTCTCATAGTCTATTGAACATCTTATGAGCCCAAAAGACCATATATATATATATATTTGGGCATGCTTGTATATATTTCAACTAATTCTCATAGTCTGTTGAACACTTTACGAGTCCAAAGGATCAGGTAAATCATAATTTGGTAGGTGACCTTAAAATTCGAACCCAAGAACTCAATGAAATGAGCAAACCGTCATAACAATCTCTTAGGTTATATACAATGGATATTACTTTACTTGTAAAATCATTTTGCAATACTAATTAAAAAGTTGAAATAATAGTGATAATTAAGTAAATCATTTTGTCCAATAAAAGCCTAATCTAATCATATTGGGAGACTCTGTGAAGGTAAATGAAATTCTTAAAACAGATTCTCGGGGCCCATTTTCTTTAATAATACAACCTTAATGGTCACCAATATATTAAAATATAATTCACACTTTGCTTAAATGCTTAATTACCCTTTACCCAAGCAAAGCATCTCCATCACTTTAATTATATTCAAGTGTGACAA